GCACTATAAATCTGTTGTGATGCACTATTCTGTATTTTGCTCTCTGAGTTCCAGCCTTGCACAGATTTACTACTGTATGCATTTGTCTTCAAGGCAAAGTTTAAAAACTGTGTTGTTCTGTACAGTGTGTCAGGCTTTTTGGAGCCTTCACAGAGCCTCTAGCTGCTGTTGTTAGTTGATGCAGAGCAGGCTGCCCCTGAGTACAAACATGATAAAACATGTTAGTGTGGATCAAAATGAAATCTGCCTGCTCTGCAGATAGCAGATTAAGTTGTGCATTTCTAATGACTTCCAGCTGTCTGTGCAGAGAAAAGCACTGCAGTAGCTTTTCACACCTTGTTCATTGCCGACTTGTATAACATGATCTGCTGCCCCATTGAGTGGTGAATTGGAGTGAGTAAGGGGGAATTCAAACAGGGGTAGTGCAAAGTATTGCTGAGCACTCTTGATCCTGGTGAGGGTACCATGGAAGAATACAATATGTGTGACTCAGTGCAGCAAAAATTGTATGCTGCTTGTCCTGCAGAAAACTCCATGTTCTCTGGTTATGCCTTAAGCAACAATCCAAACCCTCAACACTTGGAAAGAAGTTCTGCTCATTACTATTATTTTCCCTTTGGACTGTTGGAGATGGGTTGTCTGGTTCACTATTTCATGCTCTCCTTATCTGCTTCTCTTTCCACCCATGGTAATTGAGGGTGGCTGCGGGCCAGTAAAAGTCCGGAGTGAGGGGGGCCGGTTTGAGAGGAAGAAGGACAGAAACAGAGGAGAGCTTCTAGAAAGGGCAGGCTTTCATTCAGCAGTGAAACATGTGCACTTCTCGCGAAATCCACTTTCTGTGAATCTGGGGCTGTGAACAGTATTGATCACTGGCTCTCAATGAGAGGATTAATGGGAATTCAGACAAGTGCTTGGACGCTTACTGGTAACTTTTGACTTCCTTTCTGTTTTTACTGACTTAAAGATGCTGTTGTGCTGTATAGGTTTTTTGTGTGCATAGCAAAACAACTGTTTGCTAATTTCAAAGTGTTTGTTCATGATCACTGACATTCACATGTTGACATGATTTTCAGTCTGCTGTGTGCTATAACGTGGTAACATTGCTTGACTGCTTAGTTTGGTGTACTAGACTTGTTGCAGTTGCATATTGAAGACATTAAATAAGTTATCAGTCCCTTGTTTATGAAACTATCCTAAAAGAATGAATGGGATTCATCTCAGGATTTTTTTTCCTGGCAATTTCTCCTCTCATAAAATGTTTTTTTCTGTCATATTTCTCAAATCTTTGCAAACATTCTGGATAATGCATCACTGCACTGCATGTATTGTACTCGTGCACCTTTTTTTTAAACATATGTAAGAATTGCATGCATGTCAAGCACAGTCATCTTCATAAATAAGGAATGAACTCATTTAAAATGGAGATGTTTGCTGAAAAGCTATAGGACCTCTATGAGCTAACGTTTTACAACGCATTATTTAACTGTTTGGATTAGTTGAACAGATTTCCACGCAGAACAACTGATAGGGTTTGGCTTTCCCTTGTTGCTTGAAGAATTTGGCAGCAATAAATCCCCTCGATCTTGGCAAGTGCTGCACATGCTGAACAGCAGTTGTTGTTTCTGGAATGGAACAACTTCCTTTAGCCAAATTTGCAGCAGATAATTTTAACTTCAGCAATTCACGTGGAGTTAAAGTCTGCAGTTGCATTGCGCACACTACAGAAACAAGACAAATAGAAAAATGTGTTAATTTTCTCCCGTTGCGAGCTTAGTAATAAAAAGTGCTATCATGGCCACATTTCAAGTAAGGTGTAATTATTAAGCTTAAAATATGAGGTCTGATACTCTCATTAGTATCTGTGATGACTCAGTGTGTGTCGCCCACCCTGAACAAGTGAAATGTTATCTGGGGAAATGTGAGATATCATTTGTTCAGCAGCTTTCTGAACAGCATTTCCAGCTGGAGCTAAAGTGCTACTAAACTAAGCTTCACAAAAATTCTATTAAAGTGGAATAAAATGCAACAAACAACAGATTCAGCACAGAATGAGTGTCTTGTGGTAGCTATTTTAGACCTTTTAACTTAGTTTTATTTAATCCTCTGCATACCAGCTTCACTGTTGAGACCACCAAAAACAAAAGCTGGAGGTTAATAGCGTCTGTGCTGCCTCCAATAACACAAGAGATCAGTGCGCCAGTGGGATGATTACCTGCAACACGAGTGCACCTGTTAACTCTGCTACATTATGCATGAAGGATGATGGCACGGCACGTGCAACGTTGTTTTTTTTTATCCCTCGATGAAGGATGACTCCCTTCATCATGACTACATGTGTCTGGTCACCGTCCACAGCTGGAATTTGACTGTCTGATGGCGCAAATCATTTCCATGTGGCTCGAGCAGAGGTGTAGAAATACTCGGTTTGAGGAAAGTCAGTTGAGGGGAAAGTCATCCTGGCTGGACGCTGCCAGTGAGGGGGTTTTCCAGCAACCTCCTCCAGCTCTCTAGCGGGGGAAAAAAATTCTGAGGAAAACGGCTTGCACAACGACGGCAGCTTAACGCCTCCTTCAGCTGGTGTCACTTCCACGCTGACTTTACACAGTGGAAAAACTTAGTTATGTTAAAGAGTGTGACCGCTCTTTGCCCGCACAGGAATAAAAATACTCGTGAGGCCAGGGGTCATATCCTGCTCCGTGTGTTCGTTGACCTTCACATGTCACAATTAAAAGCTTCAAAAAGGTATATGGTCAGTTTTTTCCCATCAAATTCCTTCCACAAGGCCTGAGTCTTTTACTGCATGCGGCATATCTGGTCCTCATTTGTAACCGCTTCCTTTCAGCATGTCAGCAGTTTCTTTCTTTCACGTGTTGGGAACCACTTTAACGGATGATTTAATACAAGAGCCAGAGAAGCAACACACAGTTGTATGTTGCACTCTCTAGTTCATTATGCTAAATATAAAAACAAAACTTTCATCGTTTTACGGTGTTGTTCATATGTCTATTAGAACAAACATAATGATCACTGCACTGCAATATAATGCAACCGCATTAGTGCTTACTTGTAAAATATACTAAAAAAATACAGACACGTATTTTTTTTAGTATTAAGTACTGTTAAAAGACAAACTCTGCTTTGTGCACTTGCCTTGAAACTGCTTTATTTCAGTATCATTCAATGACATTGTTGTGCAGGTGGATAAGTAGAGGCTGGGAAGTGAGATCACAATGGAGTTTGTCAATTAGTTAATAAATTGTCAGCACAAGTGAGGCTAATGTAGCAGAGCCAGAAAAGTGATGAATAAGCCGAAGAGAGTTTAAAATAATATGGAAGAAAAACAAAAGTGATTAATCATAAGTGCAAAACACTTTAGCAGGCATCTCCCCAAACTTTCATTCTCTATGTTCATTTCTGCCAAAACTTTAAACATTTTGCCAGAGTGTACAATAACCTTACTCTTAAGAATGACCCACCTGACAACATAACTGCTGTACGTCTTTAGCAGCATGTGGCAGACACCGGTTAACATTTCTCCATGTGCTGATGGGAAAGAAGGAAGAGGAGGAGGGAAAGTGTGGGAGTGAAGCTTTTCTGGGCAGGCGTCTTGTATTTGGGCCAAGGGTGGGCAGAGATTGGCAAATGGCAGCAGATTTGAGGAAACAGCTGATAATCCCACAGGAAACACTGAGCACTGGTTTTCAGAGCAGTTGTGGTCAGAGGTCCAATAAATTGTTTACTTGTGAAGCTGACAGAGCCATGTGAGGATGTGGTTGATGAGGCTCGAAGGGAAAATGCTTAGGTGTACTGAGGCGGCGGAGGCTGTGCGGTGAGATCGGAAAAATATTGTGCGCCACATGAAGGAAGGATGCGAGGGAGATGTGAGGAGATTAGTGGTGCTTATTAGTAAATATGGAATTTCTGGAGTCACGCGGGAATTGTGGCAGCATTGGAGCGAGGAAGTGAATGTAAGCAAATACAGTATAACAGGGTTTATACCTGATGGCAGCAGTGCGAGTCAGTCATGTCGTATTCTGGGTGGCTACTGAGTAGTGCTGTCAACAGAGCATGATACCCCGGAGCTTTTCCTTTTGCGGTTTAGCACTCTAGGAAAAGCGTAGTGTGAAAACTTATCCTGCATTATGTCACAATTACATTACCTTATGTGTGGCTGATGCCAAAACCTTTTGGCTTAGGGTTAGTGTAACTTTAAGATACCAGTAATAGCATTCTACTTTGAATTTAAAGCTGCTCCAACTAATATTTATTTTTAACGTGAAATAAATCAAGTACCCAACTTTAATGTGAAAATGTCACTTTCAAGGATGAATTATTAGCTGACTCTGCAGTATCTCGGCTCTTTACATCTTTTTAAGGTCATTGTCTTTCTGTTTTTTCCCCCTACAACTTTATTATTTCAGTTCATTAGCAACACAGTGCGATATCTGCCGATCACCCCATCTGTTCTCTGCTTAACTTGGGCCTCAACCTGACAACAAAGTTTACAGTATAGTTTCTGATAATGGACCCAGACAGCTTGACGAGACATTGATCTCTAGTAATATCTGTGGCGGAGACAGTTCTAAAAAAGAAAAAGCACAAGGGGATAAACATTAAATGCATAACTAGAGTATGAATCATTAATTCACGGAATTGCCATGATGTCAAAGCGTAAATGCTGCACAGTTGCTTCTAATTTGCATGTGTACACAAAGCTTGAATCCTTCATCATCATTTTGAAAAACCTATTATGTGGCCAACATCCTTGTCATAACTTAAGGTATTGCACACCCTGTATAATCACCTACATGTGGTTTGGGGGTGAGCCAAAATAAATGTCAGCCAAGCATTTAATAATAACAATAATAACTGGGAAAACAATAGCCTGAGTCATTAACTTTTTTCAAGGCAAGAAATACACAGTGACGATGTCATAAATACATGCATTGTCCATTTGTTTTTCTGTGCTATACAAAGCATATTTTTCCCTTTTCCTGTAGGTGCAAATTTGGAACTAGTTACTGCTCCGTAATGGGTTACAAATCAACATCCATGCATTGTGTGTTAAGATGCCTGTGCTTCATGCTTCTCCATTTCTTTAGTGCGGCTCAAGATGAAGACCTAAGAAGTAAGAATGCTTCTGTCTTCATTTATCACATGTAACGCATTGCATATCTAGTAGCTGTTCAACTAAATATGATTTATTAAAACGGTTTTTTTTGCATTGCTAATTGTGCACTTCTTGTCCACTTCAGGTTGTAGGACTGCACCATGTGATTTGGTCTTTATTCTAGATGGCTCGTGGAGTGTTGAAGATGTCAATTTTGAAATAGTGAAGCGATGGCTAGTCAACATAACGACGAGCTTCAATGTCGGGCAGAGGTTTACCCAGGTTGGAGTCGTCCAGTACAGTGACAGTCCCCATTTAGAAATACCTCTGGGGAAGCACTCCACCAACAGAGACCTCATCAAGGCGATGGAGTCCATTGAATACAGGGGGGGTAACACAAATACCGGGGCAGCTATTGAGTTTGCTACAGACAGACTATTTGGCCTCTCTGAGCGAGCGAGCGTTTCCAGAATTGCTGTTGTCCTCACAGATGGGAAGTCTCAAGATGAGGTTCTGAAAGCTGCTGAGGCAGCGAGGAAAAAAGGAGTAATCCTGTTTGCAATTGGTGTTGGTCCAGAGACAGAAAAGGATGAGCTGAGGGACATTGCAAACAAGCCATTTTCAACTTATGTCTTCTCTGTTGAGGACTACAAAGCTATTTCCAGGATCAGGCAGGTCATAAGACAGAAACTATGTGAAGGTAAGCAGCTGTTGATTGTTGTCTGTGTTTTTCTTCTCCAATATGATGAAGTTAAATGTGTTCAAATGTTACTCTCGTGCTAGTAGTATAGTGTTTTTTCTTAATATAATAAAGAACTCCATTTGTCATCCAGCCTCTTGTTCTGTCCTTTTTATTGCGTTTCTCTGTTACAGAGACTGTTTGTCCCGCCAGAATTCCTATAGATTCCCGTGACGAGAAGGGCTTTGATATCTTGTTACATTTAAATCTGGCAAAAAAAGCAAAGAACACTCAAGGGACGTTCTATGGCTCTAAGGCCTATCAGGTGACGTCTCGTGTCGACTTGAGTGAAGCTACACGGTAATTATGGATGCTTTTCTCTTTTCTTTATCATCTTTATGTATGACAAAGTATGACACGCTGACCATCTTCTATTTATTCTATTTTTCAGGAACCTTTTTCCTGATGGCCTGCCTCCTTCATATGTTTTCGTGGCCACATTGAGGTACAAAGGATCACTTGCAGAAGAGGAGTGGGACCTGTGGAGAGTACAGACACGAGATGGTAAACCTCAGATGGCGGTAACTTTAAACGGTTTTGACCACACCCTCATGTTCACAACAACCAGCAAGGCACCAAATGGGATTCAGACTGTTACTTTTTCACAACAGACAGCAAAGGTAGGTAACACTGTGTAAAGGCTGTATCCTCTGTTGTTTTGTAAGAGCTTTATTAAGTCAAAATAACTGTTGTGGTGTCATCAGTTTAAGTTCTCTTTGCCTTTCAAGACAGCTCCAGCTATTTCAGAGAACATGAGGATGTTTAAGAGGAAGACAGGCTAATTCAAAACAGATTTGCATTATGGGAAAAGAGGTAAAGCCCATTTAGAAGCCATACAAGTGGCTAAAAGTTGGGCTATCTCAGCTTCTAAGGGTTTCATTTGGACCATTCTGGTTCAATCTGTCTCTTGTACCTGTAATAGTTTTCTAGTTTTTACTGATGCTTTTAAGCTGTACTGGGTCATTTATCTTCTCTTCATGTTTTTGTACAACACAACAAAACAAACAGGTTAGAATATACAATAAATGCGATTTCTTTTTCAGACAGAAAGACAAAACATGATCCCCACTGGAGTTAAGTCATAAGTGCAATACATACATGAAATCTTCTTTCTCGCTGAAACACCTGATCAAAATGATGATCTTGGTTCTCACTTTTAGGTCACATCTCAAAACTGCCTGGCAGCACTTTGCTGTTGTTTGTTTATAAAACTGTGCACATCCTTAAAACTGAAGTGGAAAAATGTCCTAAATGAGTATTGTGAGATTGTATGGTAGCTATGACTGCCAAACAATCCTTATTAAAGTGTGTAAGGGTCAAAATCTAATCCTGATGCCAGCTTTGTATAGCTTTGAAGAAGATGAAACTGTTGCAAAGCAATGTACACAAAGTTTTATTTTAAGTTTACCTATTATGCTCTTCTTTATAGTTTGCCATATACTCACTCACTTGTTGTTCAAACCTTCTGTTTGTGAGGGGCAGCCAATGAGAAAAAGACTGTTTTCAGACAGTGAGGGGCTGTTTAAAGGCCCAAACTGTGAATCATGCAGAGCTAATCTTCTAGAGTCCAAGAAAAAGAAAAAACAACACAGATCTGGCAGTGAGCATAATAGGTTCCCTTTTCATGTGTTTATCATCACACTAGGTTGTTTTAATGTGTTTTGGCTATTCTTGTTTTTTTTCTATGATAAATGAAGCTGTTTGATGAGAAATGGCACCAGCTACGTCTGCTGGTCACCGAAGAGGATGTCACTCTTTATGTTGATGACTTGGAAATTGAAACCTTATCACTGGAGCCCCCTGTTGGCATTTTCATCAATGGAAAAACCCAAGTAGGAAAATATGTCAGAAAGGAAACAACAGTGCCAGTAAGTCTATGAGCATTTGTTTAATGAGTAGCTAAGCAAACTCAGTGCCGATATATGTTTTTAACTAGATCACATAATACCATGCAGTTTACTGCTACCTCCTAGGAGACATGTTTAACTCCGTGGGTGATAAATCCTTGGCAAAAATGAACCCTTTTGTTCACATGGTCTTATGAATCGTTGTTTTATTTGTCTCAGTTGGCACCATTTGCACTAAAAATGTTGTATTAGTAGTGCTGTGTTGTAATTTGCTCCATAGATAGATATATGGAGGTCAGTTCTCAGTGAGCCAACAATAATCACACTGAAAAGAAGAATAGATGTGCTCTGCACTCTAGATGTTTTCATTCTTATTTTCAGTTTGATGGAACACAAACAGTTACATAAAGGAGCCCGAGGCCCATATGCATGATATAGATGCGCAGGTTTCTCATGTCACCGTTGTGCCGCAGTGTTAGTTAATGCAATAAGATTCACCAGAACTAAAACAAGACACGTGAAGAACTGGGAAGCATGAGAAAATCCTTTGTTTTGAAAGAATACCAACTTTTATTCATTCAACATTCCTGGGAATATATTCACATGAACCACAATATTAAACACAGTGAATGTTTTTCTATGTGCTTATCCATTGTCATAAGGACCATGAATTTCTGAGCTATTTAACAATGTCAGTCATGGTATTATTTCTGAATAAACACACCTGTAATTGAAAAAACATTTTTGTTATTGAGTCTTTATAAACACAGAAAGATAAAACCGGCCAATTTACACTAACATTATAAGTAAAAATAGTCATCCAACTAGAAATTATATTATTATATTCAAACCTATTTAGGTTTAAAGTCAGTGCCATTATCAAAGCTATGTGTTGATCTGGGTTTTTTTTTTTTTTAATGTAAATTATTATTATTATGCTCTCATGGTAACTGAAGTGACGCAGTCCCTGGGACCTCCTGGAGACGTTTCACTACCAGCACAACAAACCAAATAACCAAATAATGGAAGAATAGCGTAACAACACTGCAGAGCATTTGTGCACACTGAGGGAGGTCTGGCAACATGTAGCAGCTCAGCAGCCAATCAGGGCACTTATTTTTCTTCAGCAGTTATACAATAGCTGTTACAATTCATTAGTGGCAAAGCACCGATAAAACTAAAATAAGTATCACGTAATTGGCCACATATTACAATCTGTTTGTCCCCAATATCGGAAGTTTTGTTTCTAACAACAACCTCTTCCTTTAATTTTTTTTCCCAGTTTGAAATTCAGAAACTTCGCATTTACTGTGACCCTGAGCAGAACAACCGGGAGACTGCTTGTGAAATACCTGGAGTTGTAAGTATATGAGTCTGCTTGGCCCAACACCTGTTTTTCCATCCAAAAGATAACGTACTTTCACCTACTTTTCACCTCTCCTAATTACATCTGCTTCTGCTCTGCAATGCGCCCCGTGATGGCGCAGCCAAAGATTTCATCCTCAGTTAACTCCACACCTCAGACTGTACAGTGATGCTTTCTTTCCTGTTATTTCATCAGTAGTCCGTTGCAGCGTTACAAGCGAAGGTGTAAGCTCAGCATATTAATTTTAAGACACATCTGTTCATGCGGAGAATAATTTGCTGGAGGAGGACCCGTGGCTCAGCTTCAGAGATGTTGCACTATATTTTTTATTGCCTGCTGGCTCTAACTGTGTTTGCAAAGCAGTGGCCCGTTGTTGGCTTGGGATTTGCTACAACCGCAAAAGCCAGTGCCAAATAACTGTTTTTCATGTGAAGCTGTTGGATAAAAATATCAAAAGAGACAAGATGAGAAGCCTAAAATTACAAATGCTTTCCAAGTATCGCTACTTCTCTCCTCTCTCTGTGTGTGCTTTTCAGTGGTTTGTTTGGAATCTCCAGGATTGGTCATCAATTTTCTTTTGAATGGAGGCTCTCCGACACCTACATATCTAGTGTACATATGCAAGTAGGCTAGAGCTAAACATAGTGAAGCTGTTTATATCATGTTATCAACTCTATTTTACTATTTTTAGAATTCTTAAAAAATTTAATTAAAAATGACAAGAACAATTCATATGTAAGGATGTTATTTATTCATTTGCTCGACCACAGGGGATTGTAGGGTTTTTCACTTACGATGTAGAGCGCCTTGAAGTATTTGTTTGTAATTTGGTGCTATAGAAATAAAACTGAATTGAACTGAATTTTTAAAGCCTGTACTTGTCGTTCACCTTCTGATTTTTGAGAATGTGTTGTTTTTCTCTGTTTTGCATCCTTTGAATATATATCCCTCTCTCATGGTTTGCAGCTTTAAAGTGGTTTCAAGAAATCGTGATGCATATTTTCAGTTTTAATGAGAAAGACCAAATAACCCAAAGACTAAACCTTAATATCAGAGCTTTGCAGATTATGTTTAGTGTGTGGCTGTGATTTCTTGTTATGCTTGGTCATTACAGTGCTCTGATCGCGTTGAACCGACTCCAGAACCTTGTGTTTGTCCTCCTGGACCTCCCGGACAACCAGGAATGAAGGTCAGTTTTTTTTTCTGTCTCTTTCCTCACAGTCTTTGCCTTTTGTCGTTTTGCTTTGCACACAGTATCTAACCATGAGATCGCTCAGACACCCTATTGCCCTGTTCATATTAAAAAAGAGCTGAATCTAGTCACAAGATCTTTCTTTGCCTGTGTGCCAACACTGCAGACACATTGACTTTGTTCCTGCTTTGGCATACATTGTTGCCTTGTCCAGCCCCTCAGTGTCCAGACTGCTCATTAAATATTTGCTTTAAGCTGTAGCGGACTGAAGAGATTAATTATCACAAAAGCAACTTTATCTTTAACAGTATGAATTTATGTGTAAACTCAGGAATGACAAACTGTATTAGGGCAGAACTCAAACCTTCCCTCTCTTATAGCTCAGCCTTAGTGAACTGTGTGCAGACATCCTGTAAATGACGAGCACACGTTGCACTTCACCAACAGATCAGATCCTACTAGCTTGTGAAAACAGATTGTGTCAGAAACGGTGCTGAGTGAGAAGTTTTAGCACTTTAAGCTCTTAAGCACACAGTTACCTGCTGAAAACTAACAGTATTATAATTTATGGATGCACCAAGTGGTCTTTTTTTCTCCAGTGAGGCTTGCTATGGTGTGTTTGTGTGTGTAAGTTTGTCTTGTAAGGACATGTACGGAGTATTGTACTTTTGTTTTTTCTTAAACCAAACCAGACTGCTGTCAAAGATAAATACTGGGTGCAATGGAAAATTACCAAAGTGGGAAATAAAACCTACATGTTTGCCATTATTGATCACAGGGTATCAAAAAGCCCCGGTCATAAAAGCCGTTATACAAGGACCTCAGAGAGATATAAGCTTGGCAAAAGACTCTCTTTGTTAATGTTTGTGTTTATAAGGTCACCGGTATGCTTTTATTACATTTACTAATAGATCCAAAATGCTGGGAACATTGCTGGCGTGCAGATGTTCTTTAAGACCCCACATGGTGCATCTTACATTAGATAAACAAGCTTGCTAAGCATTCTTTATAGATAAATTAAATCAACACTGTGAGAAAGTTTACTGTTACCGGAGGTGTGTTAAATGGATTACTTTACTGCTTTGAGACTGCATGATACAGTTTTAATCACACATGGTTGAATAACGTCATTCCACTTTCTTTAGGGAGAGCAAGGAAGCATTGGTATTCCTGGTCAGCCTGGTCCTCCTGGTGCTGATGGTAAGCCTGTGAGTACTACATAGTTCAATATACAAACATAATCACCAACAGCAGCATCCACAGCAGCTTTTGAGAAAGCCAGTTGAGTATCTGTGTCCAGTAGATCATAACGGTTTTCTTCTTATTCATTATATGTGGTCAGGACTGCTTCAGAATGTTAAAACACACTGGTAAATGTGCTTACTTTCTTAATTTTCCAGTGGTTAAATAAGAAACATCTTTGCTTATAGCAGCACTGGCAACATGGTGGTGATTTTGTGTGATGAAAACTATCCAAAAGTAAACCACATGTTCTACAGCATGATCAAAAACTCAGAAAAAGCATCTGCCCGCAGCCTAGAATCACCCAGAGAGCATGCACACAGTGGAGGGGATTCAGATGTTTAAACAAACGTGTGCATCTCTTGTCTTTTTTTTTTTCATTTCAAGGGTATCCCTGGGCTTAGAGGAATTCCAGGTTTCCCAGGTTCGCCGGGAATTAAGGTAAATCAATAACCAGTGGATGAAAAGTCAGTGATAAGATAGTGTTGAAAATTTAAAGCTGCTTTCATTTTCCTTGTTTTAAGGGGTCACGTGGACCAGATGGGTACAAAGGAGAGCAAGGGAGGCCCGGTGTTTCGGTAGGAAGGTCAAATAACACTTTGTGGTGTCACGCATGATTTTGTGGCGACTGATAGACATTTTTTTTAAACACAAGTTTATTCTTTCAGGGTGAGAGGGGTATTCCTGGGTTACCGGGGCCACCTGGACAACCAGGCGAGAAGGTGCTGATGTTATTTATTATTTTCAGCTGTTGCCTCATTTCTATTCATTAATATAGTATCTAGATCCAGTTCCTTATATTTCTGTAGAAATCAGCTCAAGCATGGAAACTCTGCTATAGCTGGAAGGGAAAAAAAGAACAAGAAACGATAGTTAAAAGTAGAAAAACACATTGAATTTTCAAGCTAAATCTTTTTTTTTATGAGATCAAATGTAGGATTGAGAGGAAATCCCTGCTAGACACATCAACTTTGAACATTGTTGCATCAATCACTCCAGAAGCCATATGTTTTGAAGATAAAGCAGATCCATTGGGAGAGTAAAAAGTACAGCATCTATAGTGTGGAACAAGAGAGCAGAGAGAGCAGGAGGGTCATCGGAGACCTTTTAAATGTGTTCATATTTCCTGACTTTTGTACCGCCATTTCCTAGGAACGTTAAAAAAGAGAACCGGGGGTGCATCTTCTTTCCTCTTGGTGTCTTGTTCAGCCCGAGTTGCATCTTCTCCTTGCTTTTTAGTCTATAACTACAATATTTAAGGTAGAGGTCCTAGGACTGGATTACAAGAAGTGCGGTTAATATTTAGTTGTAGATAGACCACGTGATCTGAGAAACCAAATTAACAAAACTGATCACGCCTTGACAGAGGACTATATGTGTCACATGGATCTCAGTTAGGAATAAACCTCATAATTCTGGAAAAAATACAAGTGACTAGCAACCTGCCCAGGGTTTACTCTGCCTCTCATCCCATGACCGCTGGGAAAAGCACTTTCTGACCTATGACCCTTATTTGGACAAGTGATTTTCAGAAATGGATGGATGGAATCTCTAAGCCTTAGATGACAACAAAACCAAGTTATGGAATCAAGACTTACCCACAATAAGTGGTGCATCAGCTAAAAAACAGCTTCTACTGTTTAGTCACACAAATAGAAAATTATGCATGTTGTTATATGATAGGATACATCATATGTACGCTGAAATGTGCCAGCCACCACAACAGGTCCAAATGAAAAAATTGAGAAAATTTAAATTTTATCCAGCAACAAGAAAGTCTGAAAATCTTCCTTGGAAGGACATTTTTTCGTAGAAATGACCATTAAAAATGAATTAAAAGCAAGCGAAGCCTAAGTGATCCAGCATTTTTTGCTTATTCGATAACCGAAACAGCAACAACAGACACAGCAGAGTCCCTTTTATGTTCATCTGAACAGCATTTTGTGTTTAGCATTGCTTTAAAGTTCACTAAGTTAATGCAGCTGCTGCAAACTGCATCATTTCTGTCATATCATCAGTCATCAGTGGGACCACAGGGGCCCCCTGCTATTTGGCTGAAGGGGAGAACAATTCAAGCACTTAGTATTGGTCTAAAAACTTCTCTCAGCTGACTGCTGACACTTTTCTGCACCTGGAGTAAATCCTCCTGTGCCATCTGTCCCGGACACATGTGTCCAGGATGTATCACATTAGGTTTTTACAAGCTGCTGGACGGTCTTCTCGATAAGCAGACACTACACTATTAAGGACCAGGTGAATTTATTTATTTATTTATTTTATCCCATTTCCAGCGCTCTTTTGAAATCCCATAATTGGACCTCTACTTGTGTTACATTCTTCTGGCAGACAGTGACTTACAAGAAGTGAATTTTAACCTAAGTGGAGCAAAAGCTAAATATCGTCCAAATGTGGGAGTACCTCTTTTATAAACAGATCTCTAAAAGATTTTTGTGTTACGTAATTGGTTTGGTTTGGTTTGTTAGGTTGCTTGCAGGACTCTTAAAGATATGCATGAAGATTTTACCAGAAATAGGGTCTGCCCAGATTATAAGTAATAAGGGGTTTGGAGTCAATCTAAATATGAGTCTAGATCCAGGAACTTTTGGAAGAATTCTTTACCATTACGAGAAATGCAGAGAGACATTGTCTCAGTATCACAAACTAGTCCAGATCCAGATATCTTTCTGGATCCAGGGATTTAATTCATGGATGGTGTGGAGGGAATTTTTCAACCTTGGCAGAGGCATGCAGTCTTGGATTGCTCTTGTTGAGTAAGAGGTAGCAGAGGTAGTCTGTTTTTTAGTCTCCGTCAGAAGATGGACAGAGGCTTTTCTGCCCGGACTTCACTGAAGGACATTCCACACACATTGTGAGGCCAAAACAGTGAAAAGAGCATTATTGGACTACATGCATGAAATCCTCCTAGCTGTGGGAGAAAGAATAATTATATCATAAATTATAACTATTTGGCAATCAGCTTTAAATAGTCTAAATGAAACTATCAAACCAAATTTCCCTTCATGTCTGGGTCAAAAGGCGTTTCCTCTCGGCTATTGTTCTGTTTCCAATGCAGAACAATAGCCGAAAAACCTTTCCTAGCAAGGACCTACGAAAGCTTTTCTTTAGGTTCCTCCCTTTGCAGAATAAACTGTTTTCTTTGGATACAAACATGTTTCAATCTGCCTTTTCAAACTATTCCCATATAGTAAGACCACCAAGGGTGCAATCTTTTTTTCCTGGCATAGGATGTAGAGAACAGAAACATGAGATGTCTGCCAAATTAAGCCAGGAGAACAGAATTCAAGGTTATGTTTGTGTATTTGCAGTCTGTGGTAGTTGTTCATGGCCGCAGTCATTCATCACCCTTCAATGAACAATTTGTTGCTAATTATGTGGGCATCCAGCCTGTGATATTGATCTCTGTAGTTTATTAACACTGTAACTACAATGGTGGCATTCATTTCAGCAGAAATCAATGAAAACCGCACCCCTGCTTCGAAAGTAAACACACCTGTTAGCATGAGCCCCATAGCAAAAGCTTTCTGCAAGTCACTGGTCAGTCAGCTTATAGTGCAGTCTCCAAGAATGTCCTTCTTTTAAGCTCTGTGTTGTCATATAGGTTGGCACATCTTAGCATTTACAAGTAAAACAAAACCCTATTTATCAAAACTCACTGCAGCGTGAAGACCAACAACAAGCTTTCATAAATGCTTCTTTAATCCCTCTGCCATAGCTCATTTGATATCCATTGCAAACAAGATTACAGTATTATAGCCAGGGAGATTTCTGATGTGTTTTTTGAGACAGTTGAGTATGAGAATGCTACTGGGTCATGTTTATTAAGTGAACAACAAATGGGGCTGAGACAGAAAGAGAGAAACGTCTACACTTTTCCAACGGTGTTTTTTGCATTCAGCATATTTTTGCAAACAGAATCTCAATAAAAATGTCGCCCACCAAAGTCACTGAGTCAGCCAGTAACAAATGTCATCTTGGTATTGCACTATACAGTAATTTGTTCCTTCTTGAGGCCATTAGCATAGTTTTGAATGCAGAAAAACAAGTGATGCAATTCCCCGTTTGTTCCAAAATCAGGCTTTTTTCCTTCTGAGTATGTTATAATCCAGTGACGCATTGTTCCCTTAACTTGGCAACGCATAACAGAAACTTTACTAATGTCTAGTTTTGGGTCAACAAGTGCAAATTTAAAAATATCCAATGATGCAATACAACATGCCACTCCCTGAAGTTTCAGTCTAAATATTTAAGTTCACTGTTTATCTAGGCAACAGAAAAGACCACTGCTGCTGCATATTTGTGACAGAGCAGACTTTACTATGAAGTTCTCTGTCTACATTATGGGCCTCAGATTAACAAAAAGTTGTTTGCTTTTCCATCAATGTATATCACAAACAACTCTGATACTCTGGAGCAGATGTTGATACACGACTGTCTGAAGGTGAAAATCTTTCCTTAGGGTGCACAAGGGACCCCGGGAGCAGCAGGGTTACCAGGAAAAACTGGACATGTGGTACGTGTCCACACAATCCTGAAAGTAGTTCAGAGGTTTAAACATGAAATATGCATGCTTTAACTGGCTGATTGTCTACTGTCAGGGAGAAAAAGGAAGTATAGGACCTCTTGGGCCACAAGGTCCTCTGGGAGAACCTGTATGTATAAAAAACTGAGAATCGACTCACAGCCCATCATAATTGTGTATATAATGAAATTTTCTGTGATTTCAGGGTCTACCTGGGAGAGATGGAAAGGGTGGATTTCCAGGAAGACCTGGTCAAAAGGTCTGTTTGCTCTGACAGTGTAGTATGTTACAAAGCTCATTCAGGGATTAGGGGAATAATAGTGACACGAGGTTGGATGAGTGCACACACTCCTAAAAGACTTAGTTGTTCCCCTATGTTGTGCTGTTGACTTTTGGCAACCATGGAAATCGAATCATGCATAACCAAGTGTCCCTCTTGTCCTTTTCCAATTCCCAGCTTTTGTAAACATCGAGCATGAAGTTCACATTTTAAATAGATGTCGACTGACTGACTCAAATTGACTAAAATGTCGGGCACTGTGATTGAGCTGGCATGTGGGTATTGGAATTGAGGGCTTCTAACTATAAATTTTGATGAAATTAAATGTCAGTTTTTTTTCAAATGTATTAAGGGAGAAGCTGGAGCCAGTGGTATTCCTGGTACTGACGGAAGGGAAGGCCATCCTGTAAGTCATAAACACACACATAGACAGTGCTGATCAAAGGTTTGGTATTTTCCAGGTTGTTTAAGCTGCTGCTATTGTCTTGCAACTTTAATTGGAGTCCTAGACATTGAAGACTTGCATGAATATCATATTGTTTTTTAGATTTTAACTTTTAAGCAAAGCATTTTGAACCAGAAGTGCAGAACACATAATGTTTTACAAATGTTCTAGCATGAAATAATAGTAGAAACATACAAAGAGAAGAGTAAAGTAGGCCACTGCAAGAGCCGATTTCACGGATCATGCAGGTTTGCATGTATAATGTTTTTTGGTGTATGAAGACTGCAGTGTTAACACAGTGTCAGTACGAAGACTACCCCTGACAGGCAGTAAATTAGGGGTATTTCCCCTGTAGTTCATCCCAGGATAACCCTGTTATGTAACAAACAGACTCATGCAGTGAAAGTAACTCATCGGGGGAATGCTGTGACGCTCTGGCAAATCTGTTTTAGGAAGAAAGTCTTTCAACTGGGCAGCCACCCCACTGATCATGATTATAAGCCTCGTCCAAACGTTTGCGATGGGTCTGCAAAAGATGACTCAGTTGCTCCACAAGGCTGTAAGCCATTTTCCCCCATCAGAACAATAGCGCTAGCAACGTATCCAAGGAGGCAGGATTAGAACTGCGCTTCCTCAAGTTAAAACAAGATGCAGTTCTCCTTTGTAGGTCCCAACAAGGGGATTTCTTCATGTGTTGGAGAGGACTGTGTGTTCACGGCAACACTATATACTCTCTCACTGCCTTCCTATCCCATCTGTCCTCTATGCACACTGAAACTTCAGTGTAAGGCAGCATCTGAAAGCATTTATTTAAGAAAAGCCCATATGATATATGATTTACTCATGAAAGTGGCCACTTTCATGAGTAAATCATATATAAATCATATAAGGCTTACATGATTTACTCATGAAAGTGGCCACTTTCTCATTACTTTCATATATTTTTTTTAGTAAGTATACAAAACATACAGGTTTCATTATATAATTTTTCAAGGGATCTTATATGTGTTTTCACTCTTGTATGCTTTTCATACAAGTTTCATACAAGACAGATAAAAACTTTATAAGATTTATATATATGTTTTCCATATGGGAGCTAACTGAAACACAAAAAAGTATAGTAATTGCTGCACGCTGACCTTAAAAAACTTTCAGTGCATTAAACCATTCACTTAAAAATTATTGCATTTATCTGCAAATACAGTGTATTTAACTGAGGTTCAGCTGAGGCACATAGGGTTTTTCCAGGGATCTATGTGGTTTAGTTTAAAGAACAAACTTAAATTGCAGGAAATAGTTTGATTTGGGGGTGATTACATTTACTAAATTGTTACTCACAAGAATTTAATCTCAAAAAAAGCCTCAAGCTACTTTACTCTGCTTCTCATGTAAACTAACCAACCACATCTGGGAAGCATAACATTTTGGTAGGCATTTCTCCATCCACAAGGACTAAATAATGTTTTTTTATGGAGAGAAAATAACAACAATTGCTACTGACACAATGAAATAATCATTTCACAACAATGGTAAGGCATAAAGTCAAACGATGCCTTTGAAATTTTATTTTAAAAAATGCCATTTCTGTTTCTTACAATGCAAATCTGTAGCACTGATAGTCATATTGTCTTCTTTTCATTATTAAATATACTAACTGGAACACCACGTTGCTCTTAGGGTATGCCTGGATTGCCTGGAAATGCAGGCCTGGATGGACAAAAGGTAAGAGCTCCTAATGTATGTGCAAAGCAAACTCAACAATGGTTTTGCTTTATTAATTATGACTATATTTGACTGATAAGATTCTCATTAAAGGGAGAAGTTGGTGAGCCTGGACCCAGGGGCTTTAAAGGATCGACTGGACCACCTGTAAGTTAATAGCTGTTCTTGTTTATGTTTGATCTGAAGAGTTAGCAACACAGTTTTGCCCTCTTTTGCAGGGTGAAATGGGATTACCTGGTGAACCAGGTTTGCAAGGACCGATCGGACTGAAGGTAATGATTTACACCTGTTAGAACATCATGTTTGAGCTTCTTCAAACAGCTGTGATGAAAAAAAGAATGAACTTAGTAGAAATAATGGCTGACTTTGATCTTACCAACAGACATTTAATACAGGATAAACTATGAGGTTAACGTGAGTTTATCCCCCTCCATAGCCCTCGGGCTGTGAATGCACTAGTTAAAAGTGCGACACAGAGAAATCAATAACTTAAGATTAATCCACATTAATCCATGCTTGCATTAGTGAGCAGCAAGCTCAAGCTTGATTGAAACTGTCTCCAATTACAATGCAGTGCAGCTGCCTCCAAGTACAGCAGATCAGTATGGCATGATGTCATGCATCAGTATATATATTGTCCAGCCGATACTAAATGAATTGCAGCACATGATCACATTAGTTTGGATAATGTTGAATCTTTGATGCTTTCTAAGCTTTGAGGAAAAACAAGAAAAAGTACTTGGCCGGCAGCATTGCATGTTTTGTTTGGTCCCTGTTTTGCTATAATACACTTTAGAACAAGTAACGATCTTCTGGCCTCTCCAGTGGAGCTAAATTAAGCAATGATCAGGATCTAGTGCTTTCGTCAGTGGAATTTTAGTGGAAATGTAAGCAATCTGGGCTTGTCTGGTCTGGACACGCTGTCTCCTAATCATTTTTCATTAGCTGATCTGCTTTTAACAAGCCAATGCGTATTGGTGAATGGCACACAAGTGAAAACGTAGTTTATGGACATGCAGGCACTACTTTGATTTTATGGCTGAACTTCAGACTGCAATTACAGAGGCTTGTTCAGCTGGAAAAGAAAGCACCGACTAGACACAATTAAACTTCAAACTGCACAATCCCAAAACCTCATGAAAGTATGCTCAAACTATGGCATGTATCACTGAAAATGAATTATGATAAGAAAGCAAAAATATCAGCCACATAATAGGATGCGGTTTGGATGCTATCTCATTGTATTCTTTCTGCAATCTAAAATGTGTTTTATCTCTTAATTAAGGGGAATATGGGTGAAAGAGGAAGTCCGGGCATAAAAGGCACACCGGGGCTTGCGGTATGTTACCATTTAAATATGAACCAGATGAGCAAGTTCTTTTGGAAGCTGATAATTAATGCAGTATATAAATCAAAACCACAGTACACACTGATTAGCCACAACATTAACTACAAACCACACTGACAGGTAAAATACATTATTTTCCTTTATTTAAAATGGAATGTTCTAGTGGGAAACATTTGGCATTTAAACTTTGATGCATACTACATACCTAAACGGTGTTACAGACCACAAAGGCAGACAATGCACCCTGCCACACCACAAACACTGATCAGGAACTGCAAAAAGAAAATGACAAACTCCTATAGAAACTCCTCAGCTGCAAAACCCATTGAATACCACCGTATGACCCCACAGAGGCCCCACTCATTAATCCAGAAGCTCTACAACCCTAAGCTAGACCCTACAGGACACCCTGACAGGTCCTATGCCAGTGTTCTGAAGGGTCTGGTTATGATGTTCTGGCCGAACAGCATCTTTCTTAAATAACAGTTATTTCTTTTGTTTGCTTCCATTTTTAACTACTGGGTTTAACTGCATGCTTTTAAAGGGCAGTGCAGGGCAACCAGGAAGTCCAGGTCAACCAGGGCACCCAGGCATGCCAGGAATGAAGGGAAGCAAGGTATTTCCATGATCTGTTTTTGTTGATATCACCAGAATTTTAACATCTAGTCAGAAATTCAAAGTATTCTCTTGATTCCAGGTCAGGGTTAAGTCTGTTTAGATTGTGAAATTTAGGTCCATGGTCTGCAGAAATAGCAGTTATAAAAATGACTGAACACTCATATCAATTAGCCGTAAATCACAATCAGATTTGTAGGTAATATTTGTAATTTGTACAAAAACGCTACAAAAAGTCTGGTGTTAGGTTTTTTTTTTTTGTGATATGCACAGACTTTAGTGTGTCTAACTTTAAAAGCATGTTATAAAATGAAACTCTGTGCCTTTGTTGTTTTCACAGGGACAGAGGGGGAATCCAGGTGAAAGGGGCGACATGGTAAGATTCAAGACAAAATTATATTGCAGTCAGCACAAGTTAAGCAGATCAAATAATGGTTAGAAAATTGAGAACACAACCTTTGTTTTACATTAGCGCAACATCACCTTTGGGTGTTGGATTAAGATTTGCTTCTGTCCAAAAACAGCAATTACAGTGAAACTGTGGAACCTCAAATCAAAAGTCTATTCCAGGCTTGTGTCTGCTGTCTGGAAGGATGAACCTCTCCTGATGATGGAAGGTTTTTTGGACATAGAATTCATAATAGTTCAGTCTACTAATATACTTACAAATCATTATTATCACATCTTGTATCTGGATTTGGAAGCTTTCACGTCAGCTTTACTTGCTTTTTTGGAACAGGAGGTTTCTCTGATCTGGGATGTAAACAACATATTTTTTTTAATTTAAGCAATGCTAATGAGAATGAAATGGCTACACTGAACTACATTAAAACTCAATACTACTATAAATATGTGTCATTCTTCCTGTTTTAAGTGGATTTTTTAATGGACAGCACCATCTACAGTACTTTGCATATACAGCATTGGCTGAAGTCTGAAACCTGATTTTATGTGTTTTTTTTAATATAATCTAATGTTGACCTAATGATTTCCACACCAGGGGATGAAAGGTGAAAAAGGAGAGCAGGGGCGGCCAGGGGGTGTGGTGAGTTAATTTTGAAAGGCTTTGTTGCATCATAACTAAGAACAGACTCAAGACCCACCTTTTTAATTTAGCTTTTACTTAGCGTTTATTTATTTTATGCTTATTTATTCTATCCTGTTATTCTATTATTAATTTAGGATTTACCTAATATTTGTTTGATTTTATTCTTATTCGTTTTTTAATCTTCTTATTCTATTTATATTTATATTGTATCCTGTTCTTATTTATTTTATCATTTTACCCTATATATATTGTATTGCGTCATATCTCCAGTGTTTCCTCGGAGGGCGCTCTCTGCACCGGGGCTGTTATTGACCGTGGCTGCTGGGTCTCTGGGGTCCTCTCAGACTGGCTGGGGGCTCCTTTGCCTCCCTCCTGCTGTGTGCCCAGCCTGGAGGCTGCGGTCTGTGACCGGCTCCCGGTGCAGACGGCTCCCTGTTATAGTGTTTCCTCACTTGGCTCATGCGAGCCCAGCCCAATTTTTACTCTTTAAGTGTGCGCGTGTGTGTATGTGTGTGTGGGTGGGGGGATATATGTGTATTGAGAGTGTGGGGAGTGAATTGGAGGGTGGGGTGGGCTGCTTTTAACTATGTAAAGCACTTTGTGCTACATTTTCTCTGTATGAAAAGTGCTTTATAAATAAAGATTGATTGATTGATTGATTGAACTACACGTGTAAGAAAACAGTTTCTGGTACAAATGCATAGTTTAGCGAGATTTAACTAAATTTGGACAAGAAAATTAGTAGATAATATTTTTTCTTCAATACCTCCAAAAATCAGATTATCTGTTCATATTTTGGAGTTTGATGCCTACTATTCTAGTTTGTTTTTATTTTGTTTTCTTTTGGGGGGGGGGGGGGGGGGGCATAGGCCTAAACACACAAATGCTAATAAGTGGTACGTAGTGAGAATGATAATAATAAATGTCAATTACAGTGCTTTTCAGAGTGTTTTATCATCTTTTTAAATTATTTATCATTACTTTGATTGACAGGGATCACCTGGTCCAATGGGTCTGAAAGGAGAGGTATGTCAAGCTCAATAAAGCAATTACCTTACCTCAGTGTAACATGAATAATAACTAGTATTACTAATAATGGGGTGGTATCCTTGCCAGAAAGGGACAGCAGGGGATCTGGGGCAGAGAGGTCAAGAAGGTCAAGTTGGACGACCCGGACAGCCAGGTCCGTCAGGCCAACCAGGCCCCCGAGGGTTGCGGGGAGATATGGGCCCTCCTGGCCCACCTGGACCCGAAGGAAGATATGTACGTGTGCCTTATACTGTACTAACAACTTGTTTGTAATGATTTTTTGTAATCGTGTTATGTATAACTTAGTGGTTGGTCGTGGTCTATCACTTTATATTGCAGTTAAGTGCAATGTCAGACAATCACATTCGGCAGATATGCAGAGAGCTTCTTCAGGGTATGTATCATTTTAATCTACCTGCTGAACATTTTTATGTATTTTCCCCAAATGAAACTATCTCATTATCAATCCTTCCAGCTGAGCTGCCTCTATTGATACTGAGCAATCAGCAGAGTAGCTGTACCAGGTGTCAAAGTCAGCCTGGATCTCCTGGCCCACCAGGTCCAATGGGGCCCCAGGGACTCAGAGGTCTTCCTGGGCTTAGTGGTTCTAGGGGACTGCCAGGCCACCCTGGTCGGCCGGGGTATCCTGGGATTAATGGTCTCAAAGGTAAAATAAAGGTCAAGTTAGTCACATATCCTAAAACTTTCTGCACAATCTCGCTAACAAGGACACTTGTGTTTGCAGGAGAACCAGGTTTCAAAGGGGAGAAGGGGAGCCCTGGTCGGGTCATGATTGGAGACCATGGGCCTCCTGGACCTCCAGGTAAAGAACATCACAGATTTATTTTCCATTCATTTGATAAGGTCATGTAAAAGTGCAGAAGCACTTTTAGTGGATATCTGGTATTTAGCTTTCAGCTGTGTTCCATTGTGGTTGCTTGTTATTTATATCTCCACAGGTCCAATGGGTCCGGAGGGACATGGTAAACCAGGTACTCCAGGTAAACCTGGGCCCCCTGGTCAAAATGGCCCAGAGGGTAAAAGTGGTAATCCTGGCATCCCTGGTGAGCCTGGTGTGTGCGATCCATCCATGTGCTATGGAGGCATGATGAGGCGGGATTCTTACAGCAAAGGCCCAAACTATTGACATAAGGCAGCATCACTGCAGGCACCAGTATAAAGCTGATGCAGAACAGATATTCTCAGGAAGATCTCACCATTACAGTTCCTCTCTGACATGGAAACAAAACGTACCTCTTCTGACACCGTTTATGTGACACCTTTTATGCATCCCAGTTTCTTTGATGGTATTTTGTATTATTAGTCATATGGCTTTGAACATTCTTTGAAAATTTAATGGTGTTAAGAGGATTAATGATTGGCTCCAGTGAATACCTCTTATCCAAGCACCTTATATGAGGTATCAAATGTGCCAGCCATGTAACGCACGGTACTCACTGCATTTAAGATTACTACGCATAGACTCATGCACACCATCTATGGACACACTACAGCTAACAGTTTGATGGATATCTGGGTTTGTGTATAGGTAGGAAATGTAAGTGCAGTGCCTGTCGTATTAGGTGCAGCATACCAAACGCCAGCAAACATAAAGGTCTAACCAAGATTTTATTGCATATCAAGAAAGCTTATTATGGTTTTCCAACACAATCTTACCAAATCTTCTGCTTTGCTGACAAAAAACATACACCTGTTTACTGTTTGAGCCTTATATTTAATCTTGATGAAGAGATGAATTTATAATTAGAACTAATGAGAACACCTTTGAGTCTGAGGTGTTTGTCAATCCTGCTGTTGTCTGAAGCTGTTGGCATTTAGTCAGCTCAGAGGAAGGACACATTTTGAGCCATGCCATCATTTACTTTGAATGAGATTTATGGCATGCACTGCATTAACATCAACTAATTACATGCACACCTACTTCAAAACGTGAGGTGTATGTGCAGATTACACATACAGTCAATTATGTTGAACATTATTTACATGCAACCTTTCGATTCTTGTGAACCACACCTAAATAAACCCACCATTTCCAGTGTGACACCTATCAGTATAAGCCCTATGTGTACATACATGTGCAAATTGTTTGTGAATTCTAAATGAATGGTGATTGTTTGGTCACATCTTAATATGGCGTTACTAAAGCGTTTGACTGCAGTTGGCTGACATATTTGACTCCTAATAATCTTGAAGTTTGTACTGTAAGTCCCTGTGGCTGGTACACTTTCTTATATTGCCCCCTTGTGTTCCTTCACTGCATGTTTCGTTATAAGATTTTACTGCACATAGGGCAGGTGCCACATGTTCCACTAAAAAACAGAACAACAAAAATCAACACTCAAACACACACATGAAAAAACAATGATGATTTGTGAATTGATTCGTGATGAATTATCACAGAAATTAACAAGTTTCTGTGCAAAACTGTGACTTTGATTGCCTCTCGCTGAGTACTCACTCCTGGAAGCTCGAATTCATAAAGCATTCTGACTTTTGTGCGTGAAAACTTTTTACAAAACACATCACCCCGGTTACCCTCCTACTGCAATACTTCTCCATTCATTGCCATGTCTTATTTGTTCTATATTTAGGATGTAAAATATATATATATATAAAAAATGTGCCACCTATGAACACACCAACACTTTAGTTTCACATTTTAATCCATTTATGTTCCCCCAGCTTACCTTTCATTACTGTAGCAGGTTTTTTTTTTTATTTATAAGAGAGGCACATCACATTTCAGCAGTGACCTCTCTTAAACATCTTTTGTAATGTTATTATTTGGTGTGAAGGTATGACTTTTGCCATTTTTATTTTCTTTTTTAAAAACTAGAATTAAAAAAAATCTTTTAAAGGATTTGTGAACTTTGTTTGGCTTTTGCTGTCCTGTCTCTGAACTTTACGCGTTTATTTCTGCTCTCCTATCACATCACTGATCTCATCTTTCACATGGAATCGTGGGTGTGGTTTGCACTTGGGAGTTTCCACTCAAAGTGAAGCATCAAAAGGGGATTAAGTACGGTGATGGGTTTGGAAGAAAAAAGAGGAGAGAGATCATCGCATGGCTCGTCGAATTAGGACACTGCTTTAGGAAACTTGGATGAGCGCAGCTTCAGCTAAAACGCTCTGTGGCTGGCAGGGAAACTTCAGAAATGACTAAATGTTCGGTTTTTACGCTAGATGGCGCTATGTGGCAACATCTTAGTATGCGTATGAATTTTTCTAAGAAGACTTCCTTTCCACCCTGTTTGGACAGTAGCCACTCATCACACGTGAATCCCTCTCTGTTTATATGTTTAATTATCCCAGCATGGCGGCTTTCGCTTGTGTTTATTTAATGTCCCATGAGGGTGAAGCTTTCTGCAATAAACTTAAATACTCATGTTTAATTCTTGCTGTTGAGTGAAATTATGTAATTTTAAATTAAAGCATATAACCACGTGCGGTATGTGGTTTACAGCAGGCCTTTATCTCCTCCCGTCCTGAATTATGGCTTTACTATATTCTCCTTGTTTGTTAGTGTATTTAATATTTCCATACCTGTGAATCCTCCATGCATGATAAAAACATGACCCTCGTTGTTTTGCGGTGGATGCAGCTGAAACCCTCTTTTATGAAGCCTTCAATAACTTGAGGTGATTAAAAGGCTCTGTCATTATTCTTTCACTCGTTAGGAAGGCCTCTCGGATTTCAAGTGTCTCCTTTTACACTCCTGAGTCGCCACATTCATCATGGGACCTGGCTGAAGTTTTATTGCGGCCGCTAGAGGAGGATGCAAAAACAAAAGCTGAGGAGTGTGGGGTGGACTCAAAGGGCAACTAGCCCCAATACACATTCTCAGTGGGGAGGAAAAAAAGTGAGAGAGAGGGGGGGAAAGAAAAATGCGCGCCGGGGCATGAGTCGAGTGCTTCTCTCTGCTTAATTTTGACACAGTTCAACACATTTCATCCACTTGGAAACTCCAGGTTATCCCCCGACGTTATGGGCGTACCTACACGTTTTTTCATCACAAAGGAGTAAGGTGAGGGACGGGGTCACACAGCTCCATAAATACTTGGTGTGGCTGAGACTTCGGATGGACCCTGGAGGCGTAAATACTGCTGCTGGAGGAAGCTCGCACACAGGAGAGGAGCGGCGATTTTTCTGCAAGCTGATACCTCATTTGTAGAAGGGCAGACTGCTAAAAGCCTCCTCAGTTACCACCGTGAAAGTTGTGGTGCCTCTGGCTAATATGGAAAGTCTATGATTCCGTGTTGGCACAACTATAGCATAAATTGTTACGCTTTTTTCTCTCCCTTCACTGAGTGCGATGTAGTTCATCTTCACATCTCAAAGTGAGCTGATTTGTCAAGATGACAGCGCTTACACCTTTGAACCGTGCCGTACTTGGACTTGCGTGGAGCTGTTTGAGTTTCCTGTCGTGCGTGCATTGCGTTTTAAGTGACAATCATGTGCACTCCAGTTTTATTTACAGGAGGTTGCGCAATCACGAGCGCAGGGAGATACAGAGAGAGATCCTCTCCATCCTGGGCTTGCCTCACCGTCCCAGGCCCTTCTCTCCCGGGAAGCAGGCGTCCTCCGCGCCGCTGTTCATGCTAGACCTGTACAACGCCATGGCCGTGGATGAGGAGGAGGGCGTGCAGGAGAGCGCAGGGAAGAGCTTTAGTGCCAAGGCTCAAGGGCACTCTAGGAAAAGTTACTACAACCCCCAGCATGCCGGCTACTCCCGTGTGGCACAGCCTTACCGAGCGGCCCCTCTCGTAGGCCATAGCCCCGCACTCACCACAGCGCAAGACACCAACTTTCTCAATGACGCCGACATGGTTATGAGTTTTGTCAATTTGGGTAAGTGTCATTAAAACGGGATCAATATCCACACGTGCTATAAATCAATATATGCATCGGGATTATGTGCAGGTGATTCTTGGTTATCACGGACACTGAAAGAAATTGACTTATTCATCTTTCACTAGATTTCTATTTCCTCGACAGAGATAAGTGAGGGATTTTAAACTTTTTATTTCTCTTATTATAGATGACATTAAGGCAAATCTTAAAACACCAACATAAGCTGAATGAGCCTGCTTTTTGGGATGAAAAATATTACCACTTATTTCTGGAAAATAACCGGACACATGTACAATATTTTTTTAGAGAAACCTGTGCAAGCTCTCATACGAAACTTGCCGAGGAGCAAATTCAAGATTTATAATTTTTGAAAAGACATTTGTGCATCTAAATGTAAAAAAATAAAGCTCGTCGTCAGACATCAGTCATTTTCAGAGTACCGAGGGGTTGCTACAGACTCCTGTTAAATATTTTGTATTTAACACAATCGAGCTGAACGTTTTGACCCATCAATTTGTGCTGCTTTCTATTTTTTTCTGAAGTCGCTTTTATGTATAATGATTGTGTTTGTTCGGTAGCTGCGACCCTTAACCCAGCAGTTCACAGCGACTTATCAGATGACTGTCTGACCTTGAGAAAATTGGCCTAAATTATTTCCTGTTGTTAAAAGAGGGTGATACTGACTGATACTCATATCTGAGGTTCTGTCACTAAGAGAAACCACAAGCCCCTTTCATAATATTTGTGCTATTTGTACCATTTATTATTCCATCATGACATTAAAAATATTCGCAATATTAATCAAAATATTACACAGTCCTGCAGAACTGAATATTTAAAAACAAATCCCTGTAACATATCATCTACAAAGTTTCACTATTTTATTCTTTAAGGATTGTATTTTCCAAAATACAAAGCGAATTTGTGGAGACTTGCTTGTAACATTATTCCCTCACCTTGGTCTCAGCCCATCTGTTTCCACTTACCGCTACACCAGGGCATGTACACTGTCAGGCTTGAAGGCTCTGCTCTCATTCTGGAGACTGTCAGTGGAGTGTTCAATGGGGCTCTGTCTTTATTACAGTACACTCACATATAGCTACTGACCTCAACTGTTTTAAAATGTCTATGTGGCATTTTATGCGGTTTAATATGCTTACGCTAGTATCAATAAGAAGCCAGCTATTCAAACATCCCAACACACAAGACAGCATAAAAAGGGGGGCTTTTATTAATAAAACATCAGTCATTTGATAATTTCATTACAGCCCAGTTAGAACCAGCTGAATAAAACTGATATCTTACATTTTTATTTAATATTTTGCTATTTCAAAGGTAAATGCTCTGTGTTCTCAGTGACACTTCTGTTTCAGATTACCACCCGTGGCTAATATAATGGAACGCGCTCAGTGGGTAAAAGTCAGAGCTGACCTCTGACCTGTTTGTGCTAAGTAACGGCAGGCGTTCCCTCTCGATAAAATATCAGGGAAATGCACTGCATGATATCACCGTGGATGTCAGAACATCCGCTGACCTCAGCCACATGCCTTTACTCTGCTACCAGGTGGAGGTGAGAGATGGCCGAGGTCACTTTGTCAGCATGTCCCTAATGTAGGTACACTGGAGCTCTTTGATGCTGAAATTGAGGACATATATATATATATATATATAAAATCAGATGCTTCCCCTTAGGAAAAAAAAATAGAAGCTGTGCATATCCTCCACTTGTCTCCACATAGGTATAAAACAAATCTACCGATTAAAAAAAAAAAAAGACCAGCCTTAAAAAGTAATCTTATATTATCTGTTATATTAGAAATATTTTACTTTCAAGCTTAAGGGTTAGCTACTTTTTATGAAGCCTAGCAGAGGTCAGAATGAGGTCAGAAAAGAGGTCAGAGTAGACACTCATGTGATGCTGAAGAATCCTGTCTGCTCTTTTTCTTACTTGAGGAGCAGACGAAAGTGTCTTTAATTGAAATCAGCCTGTTTTTCTTAACTGACAGCCCATTCATCATGGCCAGAGAATGCAGTTAGGCACACAGTAGAGGGCCTGTCTGGGAACTGCTACCTGTATTGAGTTGACTGATTTAATGAACTGGAAAGTGCTTTTGTTGGTAGTCAAAATGTTTGGATTGGACCTTGAATGTGAAAGAAGATGTGATAAATTACACTTTTTTCCTGCGCATTGATGCTGGCATATTTTCTCCTTTAAACAGCTTAAGAAGCAGTTCAGGAGGTGAACTCATACATTTATATATATATATTTTTTTTTTCATCAACTTTTCTTCCCGGTAGAAATCAACTTTGTCATAAAGTATTTTCTTTTCCAGTGGAGAAAGATAAAGATTTTTCTCACCAACGAAGACACTACAAGGAGTTCCGTTTTGATCTGACTCAAATACCGGACGGGGAGGCAGTGACTGCAGCTGAGTTTAGGATCTATAAGGACCGTAGTCATGCCCGCTATGACAATATTACCCTGAAGGTGACCATATATCAAGTCATCAAAGAGTATCAAAACAAGTAAGTGCCAGACCAACCACAACTATGTATTAAATGTTCATATTAAATGTGATTGTACCTCTGTAGTCCTGAACTGTTTAACTGGGTAATCTCTAAATAATTTCTGATATTTTTATTACATAACGATAGCTTAAAGTGTCCAGCAATGTGTAACTAAAATGCTTTACCTCAACCAGTTGGTGTTTGCTGCTTTAGTAAACTCATGAAAGTGTTCTTTTTATTAATGCTGCTACTTGCATTTAACTAAAAATGTCCCAGCACTTCTTGGATTACAGTTTAAAGGACTTACTGCTTCATTTTATGGGCATAAAATTATTGTAGATAAACAAGGGGGAAAATGAGTCATAAAGTGAGTCAGTCTTTTAAAAAAAAAGAACAAAGACAAAGGACCTATGTTAAGTTTGTTCTCAGTTATTTAAAGGTTTAGTGAAATGTAAAACAGGCTGGAAGCTTCTTCCTT